GAGGGCGTGCATCACAAAGAGGGGAGGAGGAGGGAGGTAATGGCCGCCGCTTGAGGAAAGAGAGAGGCAATTAGCCAACAGTGAAGAAGAAGAAGAAGAAGAAGAAGAAGAAGAAGAAGAAGAAGAAGAAGAAGCGAAGAAGGAGAAGAAGAAACGAGAACGAGAAAGAAACAAAAAAGAAGAAGAAACGAGGAAGAAGAAGAAGAAGAAGAAGAAGAAGACGAAGAAGAAGAAGCGAAGAAGAAGAAGCAAAAACGAAAAAAAAGAAGAGGAAGAAGAAGAAGAAGAAGAAGAAGAAGAAGAAGAAGAAGAAGAAGAAGAAACGACGGGAAGGCAGCGCAGCAGTATTCGCGAAAGTAGACGGGAAGAAAAAGAAGAAGAAGTAGCAAAAGAAACGAAGAAGAAGAAAAAATATTAACAGGAAGAAGGAAAAAAAGATGAGGAAAAAAAAAACGGAAGTCGACAGGAAGAAGAAGAAGAAAAATAAGAAGAAGAAGAAAAAAAAGAAGAAGAAGAAGAAGAAAAAAAAAAAAAAACGTGCAACTTACCTCGAAGTTCGACCCTTCGTGGAGATGGCGCGCGACAGTACTCGATGAAGTCAGCGAGAAGGAGGCAGACGACGATGGCGCGGCAGCAGGGGGACGACGATGGCGCGGCAACGGGACGTCGACAACGGCCGCAGCAGAACGGAGACGACGACACGACGGGATGGCGACGACGTCACTGGCGCCTGGCAGAGGGCGGGAGGGTGGAGGATTCAGATTCGAATCTTGGGAGTTACGATCGCCGTCGATCGCCGACAATCGATGGCCAAGGGTGAACGAAACAAAAACTTAAAAAAAGGGGCCTACCGGGCCCCAAAAAATAGCACACCGACCGCCAAATTTTTTTTCGGCCTATGGGCTAATGAGTGGCGACGTAATTTTTTTTTTTTGCGACCGTTTTGGGACGGCGCTGAGGGGGCCCGGGTGCCTGGCCGGGGGGGGTGCACGACCGAGAGCCCCGAGCGCCATTCCGGGCGGGATCGGGTACCCCGGGCGCCGGGGGGGGGAAACTAAACAATAATGAAAAAAAAGGTCGGATTATCTACTTTGGTCTCTTCAAAAAATAAAGTACAGCCTATTCGAATATAGAGTCTATTCAAGTATCACATACATTTGTCGGGCGTTGTATATGTTATAACTTATAAGTTTATAACTCATAAATGAATACAACCTAAGTACATCAAATGTGACCAGACATTACATTCAAATGTTTGGAAGTTGGAACCAAGTTTTGAAAACTGGATTTTTTAGAGGATGTACTTTGTATTGGGGAAAGCGATAGTTTTCCTTGGCTATTTTCTTTGAACAAGGATGCTTAAATTACACCATATCGATCCTTTCTTTGTGATGTTGAAATTGTTTTTAGGTCCTTGTAAAGACAACTTATGTTATGTTCCTTTAACATAAGTTATGAAGATTCAATCATTGTCAACTTCAAAGGCAGCGCTGACTTCACTTTTTTTTTATGGTTTGTTTCTAAGATGGAAAAGTGAGACTTTTTAATAAAAAGTTGAGCGACTTCACCGATTCTTGTGTAAGTTTTAAGCTCTTCGAAGTGTTGTCTTATGATTAGCATTTAAAGAAATGATGAACTTTAAACTCTAACATATAAACAACTTAAAAAAATTATGAATAAAGTTGAAAGTATGGTAAGATTTTTAAGGTCGAAATTTGATACAATATACAGACAATTGAAGGGCATCGTTGTCATATTATTCGTAGTTATTCTACTTGAGTTCATGGTAACCCCGGACCCGGACACCGGACACTTCCGGACTGTCTTCCGGACCAGTGTCAGGACTGGCCCGGACTGTCCGGTGATCCGGACATCACCGGACACCGGACAGTCCGGACCGGTCCCCGGGGTGCAAAAATGTCTGGACCAAAAAAAAAAAAAAAAAA